CGATGATTGCCTGCCCTGTTTTGTGATTTGGAATCACTTTTTCATGCTGGCACAACAATCTGTACAACCCATGTAATATCTAGTGTGATACTTCCCTGTCTTTCCTCTCTCATTTCTTTTATTCCTCTTCTGTCACTGCTCCCACCAAAAGGAGCCATGGCAATTTCTTTAGTTACTCCACCACCTTCGTTTTTTGCTCCAAACTTCCCATCTTCCAGCTCTTCTCACCTTCAAACATCCCCTCCCCTTCTGCCTCTGCCTGCGAGACTGTTCTTCCCCCTCCTCCACCTTCTAACTGAGAAGGCTTTTCACAACAGCTGTACTTGCTTCTATTTAATCCAAGCAGATTTCTCAAGCCAATCAATACCTCAGATCAGTCCCCAATTGCCTGCTTTGCTGTCACCCAGACAGTTAATTACATCCTTCTCCTGGACAGTCCTTTCCTTCCTTGACTTCCCTCCTTTTAGTTTTTACTATAGCAGCTTTCAAGGAATCCCATCGGGACTTGCTTTCATTGTATTAGTCACTGTATGAAGACAGCACGCCCTTACCTGCAAGGGCTTCCGAACTGTTTTATAAGGTTTTCTGATTAGGAATATCAGGCATAAAAAGTACTAATAAAGCCATTTACTTCACCAAATAGACCACAAGTACTTGTGATGGGGTGGAGGCTGGGGCTATGGAAGTGACTGCTGAAAGAAAACAGAAGTCCACATTTCTAAAAGGAACTACAGAGGTGCCCTGCCTCACAATTCCTGTACCAATTTTTACATAGTACAACTACTTTTGGATAGTACGGTTATTTAAAAATTGGTGGAAGGCTGTGAAAATAGCATATATGCTCTCTCTAACCCAGTTTGTAAACAAACCTTGGTTTTAAGTAATACTTACCAACTCTGTTACCAGAGCTCGAGAACTTCCAATGTATGTATTTAACTGTCGCTGCTTCAGGATATGTAGTGTGTTTTCCCTGAAAGCAGTGAAAAGTTTTTCAGAAAAACTATTTTTAGCAAGAATCTCTTAACAACACACAAATATTGAAAGACAGTTTTTGTTACATGGAGCATGGTTGCAGAAGAGGCACACTTGGTTTGGTTAGTTCATCGATGGAGCTCATTACTGTTGTGAAAATGCAACATTTCACAAGTACAATACCAGAATCAATTCATACATCTCTGATTTCTTTCAAAATCATTCATTATTTCAATCACTTATGTATTTAACTATGAATTGATTTCTGCATGAGCAAAATTTCCCATTAGCATTCACGATAAAGTCAGTCTAGGACAGAAATTCAAGTTGGGATGAACACATGGTTCCAAAAGCCTGGATTCACTGGCCATTAAAAGCAGGTTTATTCTAGGCGTCTAGCATGAAAGGTAGACTTTGGTCTTTTCTGCCATAAAATCCATCATTATTGATAAAGACGACAGCTTCTCGTGAAGGGTCAGTGACACAAAGTGATGACAAGAACTTAAACAGGCAAAAATTAAAGCCAGACAAAAAAGTGACCACCTGAGAAACACACAATAAAAATGGTTTTATCCAGCATAAATAACAGGCTGATCAGCAGGTGACCATCTCTTACTGTGCCTTATTATGAAAAATCAAATCTGCATCCAAGTTAGGAGGTAGCAATTTAAATTTAAATTAACAATTAAATTAGGCTGCTTTCATGGTTTTCTTTCCACTCTCGCCTTCCAAAAGCAGTAACTGACTTCTGAGAAGATACACTTCAGTGGACAGGTAGAAAATATCAATTTTTACAGCTAAGAGTTTAAAGAAAAGGAGTGAACAAACTGAGCAACTTTTAAAAATCCACTTCTTTTTAAGAGTGATTCTGCATCTGTGCCTGTGAATCTCACACTTCACGGGAGCATGTATACAATCAAAGAAAGTCTGAACTCACCAATATACAGATTTTGGTCTGTGCCTGTGAATCTCACACTTCATGGCAGCATGTATACAATCAAGGAAAGTCTGAACTCACCAATATACAGATTTTGCATAAAACTCAATATTATCGGAGAAGTCCCCAATTTCATCCTTGGCAATGCTCTCTAGCCAATCTACCACCAGCTGGAATAAAATTAAATTGCATTTTTAAAACGAACATGTTACAACTAATATTTTAACTGCCTTCCTCTCACCTTTGGATCTACTCGTTATCTACATGGTAACCAAAAGCATACGCATCTTGAAGACTATTCCACTTCCATTTTAAGTGCCCAATATGAAGGCTGTTTAAGCACTTGATCTCTATTTCTCACTAGATTCAGCAGTTACTACAGTGCTACTTAATAGTTTATTAATCACCATCAACAGTAACAGATGCTCCAAATGGGAATAGCTCTCAGCCTTCCATCCTCTCCAAGCTAGCCTGAAAAACATTTCTGATCTTTAGAAACTAAACAGCATTATTTTTACGCACACAAAGAACAACACACTTCAGTGAATGCAAAAAAAAAAAAGTATTAGAAACAGCTTTAAAAAGTGCACAGAACATTGGCGTTATAAACACTTAAGTGTCTATTGATCTACTTCTGTTCTCACCTTAAAACTTTCCATCATACCTGGCTTTGTCGAACAAGTGAATCTTTCTGAAACAAGTTGTCTACATTCGTTTTTTCACTAGAAGTTAAAACCTATTTAAGAAAAAGCTGATTATTACTTCATGGAAAAGAAAACTTACCACAAGACCATGAATACCAAACTGAACACATACTAACTCATACACTTTCTGTGTGTTCAGTACGTTACCTCTCCCCTACCCCTTTTTTTAAAATGGATGACACTATAGATTTGTTTTATTTGGATGACCTTTTACATCCAGTTACACTAGAAACTGTAAAAATTAGATTAATTATATAATTCACAAATGTACAACCACAGAAAGATTTGACATAGTAGATCCATTGATTCCACTGACTGCACTTGTATTATCCTAAATTCCATTTATTACATAAAAAAGATGACATTTTCCAAGACCATATAAACACTTAACGTGAACAAGTGAAAAAAAAAAGCAACAAACAAACCACAAAACCCAACCCCAGAATGCTGATCCTTCTATGTGCTCTCCTGCATTAATTTAGCTTTCACTAGTCTTGCAAGAAAAAGAGAACAGAAGATGCATTTTCCTAAAAAACACAGGTAGAAGGAGGTTGTTTTTCGGCACAACAGCGTTTAATTTAATAGTGACAACTTAGCACTGGTAATCCTAGAGGAAGCTATTCTATGACTGAGAAAAAAGCAACTTGATCATAAATTTTACAAAGGCAGAGTCACTTTACTTATTGTTTTGTCTTCCTACGCGTATGCTGGCAGCAAAGGCTGGAAGCACTGTATTGACATAGACAAGAAGACTACAGTCGAAACAAGAATGCTAAAAAATTTGGATTTCTCTGGAGATAAATTGGAATCAGGATTGCAAAGGCTGGACAGCTAGAGACCACATGTTGTTCTTTTAGGCAAAGCAAAATTATCTCCGACCTATTACAGCTACTGATGCAACTTTTAAAAATAAATAGTTGTTTCTAGGAGGATCTTCCAAGTGTATGTGGAATACTTATGGAAATAAAACATATAGTTTATAATTTTTTTTTTTTACACTAGCACGTCTTTAGTACTGAATATTTAAAGTTACTTCTCACAGGAAATAATATTTGTCCTGATAAAAATCAAACGAGTCTCATTTTTTGTTTACATTCTTTCACCTTTGAACTGAGTGGCTGCAATAATGACATCATAAAAATAAAACACAAGCATTTAGCTTATTTAGCTTATTATATAACTTAAAAAACCCAACCCAAAGTCCAAGCTTACTGTGATATCAAATGCAGTTTCATCTTCCAGTGCAGACTGTATTCTGTCTCTACAAATAGAAGTGCAAAACATTAATGATCAAAACAAAGCTGAGAAAAAAAAAAAAGGATGCATAAGTGAAAGCGCTTAAAAATACCTTTACAAAAATGTTCTTTTAAAAAAACCCTAGAAGTTGCAAAGGCAATAAGAATAGGCTCATTTACAACTTTAATTTCTGTAAATAGTCATATATATCAGCACCTAGTTACATAAACAGATTATTAATAGGTACTTAATTGCTTCACTCCATATTTATAAACTCATCGAAAATATATCCAAGAAAGTCAGCTCAGTGCAATAAAATAACGTGCTTTTCAAAGGAATTACCTATAAAGCGAGGACAACAGTCTCCAAGTCACCATCTCCTGCTTGAGAAGCCACAAGACACTGGCAGTTTTTGAAAACTTTTGCTGTCCAGGAGTTGCCCGATAAACTATTTTCCCTAGTATATTCACCTGAGGTAAATAAATTCATACATAGTTAATATTGCCTTTCATTGTATTTTTTTTTTCTAAGCCATTACAGCTATCTTTTCATTATCCTGAATGCTTTCAACAACTAAGTTTGATCACCATCTCTTCAAAATATGTAGCTGATACTCCACGCCATAAATTCCCTTAATTATTAATAAAAGGAATACTAACACGGCCTAGAGGCCACAAACAAAGAGAGCAGCTTTGTTTTGCAACACACTGTACAAACCCAGGATTAAAAAGCCTATGTTGATCAAAAAGACTGGGAGGGAGAGAAGGCAACCACTCAAAACAAACAAAAAAACAAAACACCAAAATCCCCAACTTTTTTTTTCCATATACATCAATATAAAACATAAAGTCAGCCCTACTGGTATTTGTGACAGCATTCACCAGTGCCTCAAAGACACCCTTTCCTTTCTAGCTCTGTTAAATGAGCAAACCCAAACTGTTGGTTACCATGAAATTTACTGTGTCACCAAAAAGAAATTCTATTATCTTTTCCTTTATTTATTACGAAGAAAACTCAAACAATAAAGTCTTCTCCAGCATGATCTTCTGTTCCCTTCTATTACCTCCCAGAAAATATGAAAATACTTCATGGCTGCTAGGAGCCACCGCGCTGATCTCAGGGTACAGCTGAGAGGGAGCATGAGAGCTCAGGGCTGTCCTTCCCCATTCCAAGCCCCAGCAGCAACATCCAAGCCAATCCCTTGGAACAGCATCCTTGACTCTACTTCCGTGAGTCCTTGGCAGCATACAGTTAACTCCCCCCAATTTCACATGGCTTAAAACAACCACTCTATATTCCATGATCTTGTAGATGGTATCCATATTCTTAAACCGGAGGAACGGAAGAGACTTTCTTTTCCATTTCAGATCAGAAGTTCCACCATCTCGCAACATAATCAGGTGCACATTTATTTTCCTTCTCCTGTCTGCTTCCCGCTCAGGAAGTCAATTGTGGTACATGCCTCATTAAAGACCTCAGCATTCTCCAACTCTGCCCCAACAACAAATCTGTACAAAACAGGGCTAGCAACCTTCTACCACAAACATATTTTCTTGACATAGACACAGGTATGAAGTTTCTTTTAAAAATTACCTGCCCACCTCTCTGTTTTGTGATCAACACTTATTGATAGAAACACTGTAATTTCTTCCTTTCAAACTGGCAATCCCTGCTGATCCTGAACTGTCAGTGAACAGCTAATCAAATAAGAAACTACGTCTAAAAGCTTAAAGCTAACATTGAGCCTTCTACTGCCAGCTTGTTAGTAATGTAGCAGAAAACTCTTAAAAGCATCATAATACCATAAATTTATTTATTTATACCCAAGAGAAATAAGAAATAAAACCCCATTGTAATCCAGTTTATTATCATTAAACAAAACAAACCAAAAAAAACTATACATCTGCTCATGTTTATTGTCACTTGACACTTGTAGTGGAATTGCAGCCAGATGACGTTGTTAGTATTCAGCAAGCTACACAATGGGTATTCCTGTGCCAAAGTGGTGTATGAGGAAAGAGGGATGCTATTCAATGCCAGTGTTCAGTGACTCATAAAACCGCAACCAGCTGGAAGATTTAAAGTATCTATGTTACGCACTGTGACTTCTCAGCTTAAAGAAAAATAGCAATACTACCTTGGGAAGGGACTGTAAAATAAAGTAAATAAAAACCCAAGCGAACTACTTACCTGACTGTTACAAATACTTTCATACTCATCCACAAGATCAAAAATGGTAGTTGACGTATGCTTCAGGAAGGAATGCAGAAAATCTGAGTACATGCTCATAGTAGCTAGAACAGATTTAAGAAGAAACAGCCATATTATTCAGACACAACTTGGTGAAAAAAGACCCAACAGACTACAAAAAAATCCTCCCGATTACAAGACATCTCACCTTTTGTAAATCTAAATGAGGTCAATGATGATATGAACTATTTCTATCTCAAAGTCAGAAGAACTTATTAGCTAAGATAGTAAGATACAGAGAAGCCATGAGGTAAGTCAAAGCATTATAAAATTTTTGCTGTAAACCTGTCACATCTGCGAAAGTTTTAACAACAAACTCATTTGTGTGTCTCCACAAAATGAATCCAGTTTGCACCTTACGTCACTAGAGAATCCCATCTGGGCCATCGGGTTCCACAGAAGACACAAAC